AACATTGATCTCAGCCAGGTACAAAAAAAAAAATCAGCAGTCCTGAGTTTCTTACATTTATAGACAATATTCACAGAGAAAGCCACGCAACAAAATATCAATGTGTGTGAAGTCCTGTGTATCTAATTGTAGCCTAGGGCTAGTATCTTAAAGATTTTTGTGGAACATGCAAAACAGAGACTTACTAACTTTTAATTTATCAATTTAATAACATTTAATAGTTTGAAAATTTGAGATTATAATCTCAAATTTCACTTTTCCATGGAAAGAAAAGACCAGCATTGAGCAGCAAGTCTGGGAATAGGAATAAATGGCAGCTAAGTCTTCAAAGGACCTGGGAGATGACAAAGTATCTGAAGCCAGCTGAAAATAGAAAGTAATGCCCATCAACTCAAAGTTGGGTCTGCCATTTTCGTATGTACAAGGACAGTCACAAATCAAGTACACATAAACTAGGGACTTTGGTGATCTCATCCAGATCTCATGCATCAATGACTCCTAAATTTCTAACTCTAGTTAAGATGTTTCCCCAAACTCCAGATTCATACATTCAGTTACCTACTGACTATCTCTCCGTTCTTGGAAGTCTAATTAACAGGCATCTCAGGTGTTAAAATTCCCAAATACTCCAGTCCTCTCCACCTACCCCCACCAGCACTCTCGAACCTACTTCTCCTGAAATCTTATACACTTAGTAAATGGTAACTCCATCCTTCTCATAGCTTTGGAGCTGCCCTGGATTTCTCTTGTTCTCGAAGCTCACATTCAGTCAATCAGCAAATTGTTAAAAACATTGAGAATCCTATCACTTCTCAACATCTCTAATACCACAGCTTTGGAACCAGTTGCCATTTTCTCTTGTCTAGATCACTGAGTGGCCGGCCTCCTAACTGGTCTTCCTGCTTCCTCACCCGTTTTCACCTTATAGTTTATTCTCAACAGAGCAGCCAGTGTGAGCTTCTAGAATTAAGTAAGATGCTGCTGCTTTTCTGCTCGAAGTCCTCCAATGACTTCCCATCTTACTCAGAACCAAAGCCCAACTCCTCACAACTGCCTAGAAGGGGCTCCATTTACTCTGGCCCCTGCCGTTTTCGTGCATTCATCTTCTCCTCTGCTGTCCTCACTCTGTCCCAGCCACACTGGTCCCTTTGATGTTCCTCAGATACTTTTGGCAATGCCTGGCCTCAAGACCTCTCCACCTGTTCTCTCCTCTCGGCTTGAAAACTCGTCTCATGGATATCTGCATGACTTGCTCCCTTGGCTCCTTCAGGTCTTTCTCTAAATCGCCTCATCAGTGAGGCCCTCCCCAACCACCCCATTTACAAGGAGAACCTCCACTCCTACCCCATGCATTCTCTCTTCTCTTACTTGCTTTATTTCTCTCCATTATACTTATCACAATCTGACATACTGTGGAGTTTACGTATTTGTTTACCTTCCACCTGTCTCCACTAGAATGTAAGCTTCATAAAGCAGAAAGATTTTTGACCTGTTTTCTTCACTGCTGTATCGCTAGTCTCTAGGACACTGCTGGGCACAGAATCGGTGTTTAATCAACGTAAAAATGACTTAAGCAACATTTTATTTGAAAGATTTCATTTTAGCCAATTACAGCAAATATATTTTTCAAAGTAGTACTATGGAAATGCCTACAAAGTCAAATTAGTGACTATATTTCTCTCCTAGATAATTAAATATCATTGACAAATAGGCAGGCATGAGGTGGGATGTAATTCTTGATGAAATTTAGTCACTTCCCACATGATTGAAAACCTTCACAAATAACTCAGCTTCCCACTTTTGACTTTAAACAGATGATGAACAGAGAATTAGTTGCTATGGAAAAAAGGCATGCATTTAAAAAAAGTATACTTACTGGAAGGAGGTTTCTTCTACAAAAGAATAAGTATATATCATTAATGCAAGAGTTAATATTGAAAGATATAGAGTCATATAAAAACAGAGTTAAGCTTAATTTCTTGGTTCTCAATCTTGGTTCTCACTTGCTGACATTTCTACCTTCTAAATCAAAGGTTGGCAAACTTTTTCTATAAAGGGCCACATGGGAAATCTTTTAGGTTTTGTGAGTCAAGAGGAAAAATTGAGGATACTATGTAGTTTATTATATAACAAGAGAGAAAACAAACTTCCAAATAAGTTTTATTGATAAAATAAAAAATATAATAATAATCTAAGTCTTATAGTATAGGTCTACTAATTAGAATGGAATTATCTGGCTAGAAGATAACATTTCTGTTAATTGGGGTTCAAAGTTAGTATTCCCTACTACCTAATAGATTGCAAATGTTCATTTGTAGAAACCATTCTTAGCTCATGTGTCATAAAAAACAGGTGGGAGGCTGGATTTGGTCCACAGGTTGTAGTTTGCCAACCCCCGCCCAAAATGCAAGCTTATGAAAATGGTTCTCTTAGATAGATTTTTCTACCAGATGAAAATGGAAGTAACATTTTAGCTAATGAACTACTATTCAACCTTTATTTCAGTATTTTAAGAAAAATTCATTTACCAAGTTTTCAGTAAAAATGCTCATATATTCTTTGCAAGTAGAGATAATAAAGATGATAAGAATTTTGAACAATCTTATCTGTCTGTACTTTCACTTATGACCAGCAGGGGGACTCAACCAGATTCCGTTCATAAAATTACCCTGAACTAGATTGGCGAGCCATACAAAATAACAACCATTACTAATTCACAGAGCCATTATCTTTAATTATAGGGAATATCTTTGAAACCATGTTCATGAAAACATTTTATGACACTTAATATTTAATCGTAGGTATTATTAGAAACCTCTTTTAAATTTAAGTTTTATTTTAGTATAAAAAAATTTTTAAACCTAAATTCCAAAATCAGTGTTCACTGTAAAACAGCAGGTCTAAAACTTGTCGTAAATTTATTTAATATTGTTTTATTCCATTAACAAATTCTACTTTATGCATTATTCCCAACGGACTTGATAGAGTTCTGCAGCTTTTGAACTTTCAGATAATTTTAAAGACTGGGAGAAAAGACATGCATTAAGACAATAAAACAGATTATTTTTAAGTCTCACTCATTTACATCAAACTTATCACCAAACATAGGTTTAGAGTAACAAGAAATCTAAACCTAAAGAACTAAAAACCTTGTTCAGCAGCAACGTTAATATAATAGGTATCTACTTTCCATTGAACAATTATCTTCTAAATACAGTTGTGCTAAATTCCACATTCCACTGTTTTACACTGATAAAACATTTCACTGATTTATTTCAATGAAATTTCTTATCATAAAACTAGAAATCAATTTATCATTTGAGATATAGAATTCCAAACTTAAAAGGATCTTAAATACATGTACATGTACTATAAAGATCCACGTGTGTTGACTATCTCTCAGTATTGCTGCACTATGCCTCTCCAGGGTACCTCTCTCATACTCTGTGGTATCCTCTGGAATACAAGGCTGAGGCAGCTCTGCCTTTCTTCCCTATATGTTAAGGTGCTTGAGTCACCTGTGTGTCATCTTGGATATTTCCTACCGCAGAAAAAAGCAATGAAAAATATTCTCCAGAGTTTGTTAGAACATCTTAAGAGAAACGATATCTCATGAAAAAAAACTCTATTTCCACAAGAAGTTGTCTAGCAAAGAAAGGTGAAAGTCACTTACTTGAAAAGTAGCCTTTCCTCTGAGCATAGCACACACCAAAGCCACAAATGGAAATCACTAAGGCCACAGCTACTACAGCTGCTATGATGCCACTTATGTTGAGATCATCTAGAATGCAAAATCAGGAATTCAGGTCACGCATGAATTCAGGTCAAATAGATGGAGAGGCGTAGTCATTAAACTGAAAAAGTTCAAAAAAGCTCCCATTTGCAGTTATACCATAAACATGGATACTTTCATGCTTTTGAAGCCTGTTCAACTCACTCACTTCCAGGATATGAATCAAAATTGATGGAAAATATTATCAGAACTAAAGTTAAATTTTTAAAAGTTCTATGGATCAGAAATAAAACGTATAGTATTCTCTTGCATTCATCTGGAGATATAATTATTCACTGGATTAAATATCAGACTGGAAGAGATCTTCGAAGTTCAGTGAGCTCAGGTATTCTACTACGACCCCCACTCCAAGTTTTGCTTAAAATTCTTCTATATCATTATCTGTGTCAATTTTACAAATGATGGAAAACTCATTCAACCCCAGAGAAAGCCTATGCCACTGTTGTTCAATAAAGTGTCAGAAACATCTTCCTTCTTGAATTATATGGCCTTGTGTGTGTACATATATGCTGTTACATATGTATCATTAAACTGTCATTCCATTAAATTTTATATGAATTAAATTACCTGAAGTTTTTTCCTGTTGCTATTAAGTCATCTTTCCTCTAACCTAACACAAATGGATTTTTTGGATCCAAGTTTGAAATCACTACCATATTACCACCTTGTGAAGGTTTTTCAGATACTGATTGTTACCCAAGAAATAGATTATTAATCTTCCAAGGTTAATATTTCTGCAATTGGGAATAGCATCAAAAACACTTTCATTCAAGTCATTAATAAAATGATGAACATGACTTTGTTAGAGAAAGAACTATGTAACAGGCTATTAAATACATTTAAAACCTCCCTTCATACATGTGATTTATTAGCATTCTCTGAGTGTGAGATCCAGCTATGTGTGAATCCATGTAAATATTTAATTTGGATCACATTTCTCAATCTTGTCCATAAGGATTTCATAAGCCACACTCTTCTGTCATTTAGATACTTCCTATGTATTGATTAACATGTTAGTTACCTGTGCTTTTTAAAGGAGCAATTCCTCAAAGGAACCTCGTTTTTAAAAGCAAGTACTAATTAGCATATTACTACATAATTTGGAGAAAATATTAGGTATTATCTTTCTCAACAGTAGTTTTACATATTTTAAAGCACTGTGTATTGAGGAAAAGATACTTTTAGAAACATCATGTGAGTCTGCTTTTCATAAAAACTTTTGGTCTCCAAATTTTTTCCTAAAAAATTTGAAATATTAACTGATTTTTTTTTTTAAAGAAAACACAACAAATTTTTTGAAAGGCTAAGTAATTTGACCAGAGCAGAAAACATTGACTATTGCTTGGTATAATCTCAGTTCACATTTGCTTGAGCATTGGAAGGTCAACGAGATCAGCTGTTTATTTACTTGCATAAAAAATAGCAGAGAGGGAAAAAAATTCACAATAATCACAATCTAAGGCAAATTAAATTAATAACTAAATGAAACTCCTGAGAACCAAACTGTACCTATTTTCTTTGTAGTACTCAATGAATTTGACATTTATGAAGGGTTCAACCTAAAGGCCATTTTATGACAAAAAACCCATCCTGTACTTTGTCAATGAATTTGACATTTATGAAGGATTCAACCTAAAGGCTATATCTAGCCAAAAAACAAACAAACAAAAAAAAAACAAAAAAACTCCTTCCATGTAAGTGCTAAGTCATGATATAAATTTTCTTTTCTTTTCTTCAGCGAATGGAAGCTAGAGACTTGTAAGTTAGAGGTAAGTTGTTTCATCCCATTTGTCATTTACTGTTAGATAGTGACCAAGTCACATAGGAAGAGGAAATGTAACAACATGTGTAAAAATACTTTGCATTCTTTCTTTAAAAAAAAAGAAATGTTACTGTAAAAAGAAGGCACCCCTATTTTAACAAAAAGGAAAAGAATCAAACTGCTAAAATGCCATGCGTGAGTGGGGCCTTCTTGTGATCATTAGCAAACCCATGGTCTACTTTCTTTCTATACTTCAAAAAGAACTTCTTTAGGACACTTAACAGATTCTGCTTTTGGTTACAAGTTATTAGTGATAATTCACAAAGAAAATTGAACATGAGATTTCATCAATTCTTATGTATTTCAAAAAGTGTAAATTCCAAAGCAAAGGCATTAAACACCTAGGATCAATGGATGAGCATTAAACAAACTAATTTTAACTTTTAAGCTAACCTATGCCCAGAAAGGCTAGACTTGTAGAAATCATATTTAAAGTAGTACTATTAGCAAAACAGAAACTATAAATTTTACTTGTTATATATTTATTTACTGTGTGCTAGGAAAAATGCATGTTAACTAAAATGTCAAAACCATGACATCACAGATAGTATTTCTTAAGATGATGCTAAATTAGGCCTTAAAATTAAACATGGCCGTTTAGAGAAAAATAATTGATAATAATAATGAGGGGATACAAGGTTATGGTAAAAACCACGAGGATAGTATGTGAATAAATGAAGTCAGGAAAACGCTGGATTAATGTGTTAATCTTTAAACAGGTTCTGATGAATTCTTCTAATAACTCCAGAGCATCATTGAGATAGTTTCTGATAATTTAATCAAATGCTTATGTTTGACTATAACTGTCAACACTTGAATGAATTTGGTAGATAGCATGTATCCCAGAATTTAAAAAAAAACAGAAATTTGAAATTACTTGTAGAAATTAGAATATGTTATTGAATACTTTATATTTTAGGATATCTTGAGGTCTAGTAAGATTATATTTTCTTTAAAAGTAACACTAAGCATTTAACTGTGCATAAATAATACATATTACTGCACACATATCTGCATACCTCTAAGCACATTGAAAAAATGAATTTCTGACCCCACCAAACTGAGGACAAGCTCCTCAACCAAGGGGAGCTCTCAGAATTCGACTTCAGGGTACAGCCCTCCTGAGTGACCGTTAGCCCCCTGGGTACCATCTCAACTCATCTCTCTCTCTTACAGAACCATTTCCAAAACACATGGCTTTCGTGCAAGGAAAAATTAAACAAAATTATTAACAATAAAATGAAAAAGAAGTTTGCTCTGAACTCACATAATCTGAAAATATTCTTGAGCACCAATTTTATTGGTTTCTAAGAAGCTTATTTTGTATAACATAATATATGGCAGCAACCTTTTATAACAACCTAAATCTATAAAGATAGTCAACATGTCTTTTTTGAGAAGAAATTCTGCAATAAGTGTAAGCATAGTATCTCAAGGGATCAACAAAATTAACAATAATAACCTGATAGCAAGTAAAATAGTCAACACTTATGTAGTGGTCACAGTATGCCAACACTGTTCACTATGAAGATTATTTTCATCTTCGTAACAACTCTATGAGGATGGTATATTACTACTTCCATTTTGGGGAGACTGAGGCACAGAGGTCAAACAATTTGCCCAAGAGTATGTAGCTGGTAAGTGACAGAGCTGGAATCCAAACTCCCATACGGAGTCCTTGACCCTGAGTAATTTATGAGACTCTTACTTTTGTTTGAAAGATCACTCAGATGAGCATAGTTTCAAAACAATAATTTGAAAAATTCAAAACTTTGTGAAGTATTATACTTGTTTGGGAGATAGATTTAAAAAGCGTCTTTGCTCTTTGCAGCACTTTCTGTCAAGCTAGTTTTAAACATTCCTTCCAGTTTATCCTTCCAATCACTCAGCACTTTCCTACCCCTCACCCCTTCCAGCTGTAAACCTGTGCATCCTAATTGCAAACCATTTGTTTCTCCCGGTATTTCATGCTTACCTACTTGCATTTGTTTCCCAGGACACCGGCGATATCCAACAGAATTACGGGCTTCACAGGAATATTCTCCACTGTCCAGTTTTGAAACTGTGTTAAATTGCTATTTGCGGAGGAGGAAAAAAAAATGAATTTTTTAAGCAATAAATCTACAAGTAGTCTCCTAAAATAACCATGTCTCTTGAATTTTAGCATTAAGTTGGTCTTTCCTTTTCAATGACTTAGACTGTATATCTTTACTATGAATTCAAAAATCTTCCATGCCTTCAAGGAGTAGACAGCTGGGTCTGCTTTTTTTATTTGACAGAAAAAGACTTATTGAGAAGTGTCTTTTTTGTGTGTGATACTGTGAACGTAGTACAGTTAAGAAGGCAGTGGGTATTTTAGAAAGCTGATAACACATTGTACTATTAAGTATTCTAGGTATTTCTAATTCTCCTACGAAATGCCATTTGGAAGTGAAGTGAGTTCACTGGAGCAGCAAACATTAACCCTTCCTCTAAAGAGGCAAATAATTACCAGGAAGTAATGTAATGCCTAGGAAATCGTAATTGATGTAGCTTATGGAATTATAAATTCTATTGGTCATAGAATTTTTGAAAATTTTGAAAACATTAAGTCCAACTCTTGCTCCTTCTATGCCCTGCTGAAGCAACGGAAAGGTGAGACTGATATAATAGGCTTCATACTTGTTAGTAGCTTTATCCCCTTGGGAAAGTTCTGGAAGGAAGGAAGTTAGGAAGGGAGGGAGGTAGAAACACAGAAAAGAAGACTGAAAGGAAGAAGGGAAGGCAGGAAGACAGGAAGGGAGAGAGAGGGAAAAAGAGAATGAATGCAGTGGGTCCTAACACCCTAAGACACCCTTCCAGGACCCTGCCAGGTAAGAGGGGTGCTCAGAACCATCACTTCAGTACCCTCCTGTCAGACTCTAATAGCACAGTGGTCACTGATGACCCCATTCATGAGAGCCAAGAATCTCTAAGGAGAACCTTCTCACTACCTGTGATCCTCCTGCAACACATGTTCCTAAAAATAGCCAAAGTTTTGATTTATGAACTCCTTTTCCTCTCTCACTCTTTTTTACCCGCTACTCACATACTTCCCCTTTCTGTATACTTCCATATATCGGGATTAAAGCTTTTCCTCATTTATTTTAACTTTATGGAATCCTCTCTCACTCCTCCAAAAGCCGGAATATTTTTAAAATATCCACCATGAGTTCAAGGCCAAAGCTATTTATACACAATAAGTTAGATGAAAACAATGATCTTCCAGCACATCATAACGGGTAATTGAGAGGATGTCATTGTCATCCTTACACTGGAGCCTTTGTCAGTTGCTCGTTTCTCAGGAAAGAACCCATCCTAGCTATGCCTTGGTGCATTCCTTTGACATCACGAGATGTATTTCAAGGACTGAGGCTGACGGAGGAAAGTGAATCTATACCATTTCGGACTTGCCTTGGGGCTTTTATCACCTGCTCCGAGAAAAAACAAATTTGAAAAGTAAATATAGGAAAGTGTGACGGCAGGTTTTCTACCCAATTTCTCAGTGTAAAATCGCTCGGACCTGCTGACAGAGCCTGCTGACACAGAGAGGGACAGGGCGTGGCATTCTTCAAGCAATAGCCACATCCATCAATATGCTTCATTATTTAGCCACTTTATCAATACACTTTGTTATTTACCAGAAGATCTAGTTTTTAAATGTTATCATGTGCTTGTAGATTGAAGGAATGAAACATTATACTTTCCTTTTAAAATTCATTAAATTATTATCAACATGCCTTTAAGATTTTTTTGATAATGGTTGTGGTAGTGATTCAGCATTAATGAAAATCAGACAGTTAAAAACTGACATGTGATATTACTTCAAATAAAAGAAAACGACTCAGGCTTAATGTTTTTTTTTTTGCTTCCGCCTCTAGCCTGAAAAGTCAAGACAAAAAAGTAAACTTATTTTTATTTTTAAACGTCATTAAACTTAGGGGGCTATTTATAGGTTTCTATCAGTATTCCAGAAAAGTTTTTCAATTAGATATTTTTAAGGGGTAAACAATCAGAAAATCTGGACTAAATCTAAAGTAATACATACTCAAGTCACAGTGTCAACTGTTGATCTTCTAGCCATGGAAGAAGTTTAATGACACAGACAGCTCATCATAGGTTGGAGATAGTCACTGTTCTCAGGTGGCTGGCACTGGGGTCAGGACATCCCCAAGACTGTTTTTATGCATTTCCCTGACACTGTGACTACGAGACTGTACTTTGTACCTTTCTAGACCAGGAAGGCAGCTGTAGTGAACTGCCTGACCCTGAATCATGAATTGGACTTGGTCTGTCTCAGGTAAACACGCAGATCCTTGTGTGTTCGGCTCGGTTCTGTACTGTCTTCCCACCTCCTGTAGCCACTCTCAATCACTGCTCTGTGCACAGACTATTTTTCCGGCTCGGTTCTGTACTGTCTTCCCACCTCCTGTAGCCACTCTCAATCACTGCTCTGTGCACAGACCGCCATTTTTCCTGCTGCCCACTCTTCTCGCCACGTAACAAGCAATAGTTCCAGCCTTCTATTCTCTATCATTTTAGTTCCAATAACTTTTTTTTTTTTCTCCAAATGCAAGACAGTTATTAGGCCAATGCTTGAAATGACCTTACCAGAGTTCCAGATTTTGTATTTATTGTGTATGAGCTGTTGGTGCTTTGGGAGCCAAGTTTAGGATTCCCTGACAAACGGATGCCATCCTTAAACCACGTGTATTCAGGGGCTGGATTCCCTTCTCTGTCTTGACATCGCAGCTCCACCACAGTTCCACTCAGAGCAGAATTGGGTACTTCACATGATGGAACTGCTGGAGCCACTGAGGGATGGAAGCCAAACGGTATTGGTTATTTATAAGCTAAACAAGGATTTTAACAGGTAAAGATGGACTGATCGGACACCTGTGATAGAGACTGGCTATTTGTTCAAGAGACTCATTTCTCTTCTTCATGGGCACACGGCTAGACCACGTTTGCCAGCTCTCCTGCCGCCGGACGGGGGCCTATGCATGGTTTTGGCCAATGAAATGTGGGGAAAAGTGATAGATGGCATTTCTAGGACTGAGCCATAAAAGCCTCCTGTGTAATTCTCCCTTCATTTACTACCCACCCCCTCCCATGACCAAGTAGGTGTCGACACCCATGGTGACCTCAGAAAGCCATTAAAGATGTCAGACCTATATTAGTTGGGTCTATAATGATTTCATAAAGCAGAGTAATATAGCTCCACCACTACTATCTCCGTCCCAGCTATTCAGACTTTACTTACACAAGAAGGAAACTTCTATTACATTAAACCACTCACTGAGTGTTTTTGTTATAATAGCAAGCATACGTTAGCTAATATAATTGCTTATCCTCTTGGATAAACAATCTCTACTTCTTTTTTCCTCATCAATTTTTTTAAAGACTTTATTCAGCAAAATCATTCATTTACACAATGGGGAATGCTATTTTAATTTTGTCAATGAAATAACAACAAATTGAACAGAAACAAACCTCACCAAAGGTTTTAATGTTTTATTACCAACTATATTCAAAAGAAGTCAAACCTGAGTATATTTTTCAAGACTAGTACTCAAACTAAAATCCTATCTGCATAGCATTGGCCAAACTAAAGAATGCTTGAGTTAGAGTTATTCTGGTCCCAAGGATTTGCAAAGTAAATCAAACTTTATACAGTGACTCAAATCCAGGAAAACCCAGAATTCGAAGTGGTTGGCAGAATTCTAAGATGGTCCCCCAGGTATATATACACTTTCTCTCATCCCATCAAACACTAATGTAGGTACTATAAGGGATTTTTTGGAGATATAATTAAGGCTCCAAATCCACTGTCGTTAGATAGGGAGCTTAAATCCACTGCCCTAAACAATGATACCTTTAAAAGTGGTTTTCTCTGGCTGATCACAAAAGGGAAAATGAGAGAGTCAAAGTCAAAGAAAGATGAGACATTCTTTTGTTGAAATTAAGATGGAGAGAGCCACATGGCAAAGAATGTGGTGGCTCTAGGAGCCGAGTGTGGTCCCCCAGCTCATAGCCAGCAGGGAATGGGGACTTCAGTTCTACTACGAAAAAGGACTGAAATCTGCCGATGACAAGAAAGAGCTTGGCAGTAGATTTTCCCCCAGTGCCTGACCAGCCGATGCCTTGATTTCAGCCTCATAAAACCCTGAGCAGGGAACCCTGCCACGTCATGCTGGCCTTCTGATTTGCAGAATTGTGAACAAATAAATGGGTGCCGTTTCAGGCTGCTAAGTTCGTGATCGTCTGTTATGTAGCAATAGAAAACGAACACACCAGCTGAATCTCCTGCAAGGCCTTTTGAACTAAATTTCTTCAATAGTAGCTCATCACTAGTATTTTAGAAAAAGCCTAGACTAACATATGAAAAGGAAGAGGAGTTATTTTATGTCCTTTACTTGGTAGTTTATACTGACATCTATGAAGGAGCAAAGATCATGTTCCTGCACCAAGTGTCATAACGAGCTGCGACTCTCAGTGGTTCTTACAAAAACTAAACATTCTGGCTTTGGAGTTAACCCCATCGGGATCCTAATCCTGTTCTGAACACTCACTAGCTGTTGAGCTCTGGGAAAATTATTTAACTTATATTTTCTCACTTGTGAAAATCGAGTTGTCTGTGAAGATTAAGTAAAATTACATATGTGAAAGGGCTAACACATACTAGCTGCACAATAAATGCTAATTTCCTTTCTTTCTCAAATAATTTCTAATATTTCCCCTGGTCTACATTTTCATTTTACTGCTTTTATATTATCTCATGTGATAATATTTTGTGTGGTAGGAAAAATACTACATATGCTGACAGTTATTGCAAAATAGACTCTTGGAAAAATTACTCCCTAGGTACAATGTAAGACAATTAAGATTTACCTCAATCTTAAATGAAAAGAGATACTGAATTAGTAATAGTAAAATTTCAGCAGCCCAATGAGGTGAAGTGAGACAGACTTTGCAGGAAAGGTGATGGGAAGGTGATGCTGGCGGTCTCCATAATGGACTGGGACCCTGAGCTGGGAACAGTACAGTGCACAGACACAAGCCCGTTACCTAATACTTCTAGGGTGACCGTATCCTCTTCCAGGTTTTGGCCTTGTTCAGACGGAGCACTAATTTCACAACGATATTTCCCGGCATCACGTCTTGTAACATTTTTGATCCGTATACTGAAATCAATCAGCTCAGCTCGATCTTTAAAATCACCTTTTAGAAAAAGAAGACAATAATGTTAATAGTGCAAGTTCCTTTCTGTATACTACCTTTCTCAAGTCAATTCATTCAGTAACCAAAGCATTTATTTTCCTATTAATAAACTCAATGTAAAAACTTAAAAGTTGTATATGGGTGCTGCTGTTTCAATTTTTTTTTTAAAAAATAATAACATCCTGTTTACAAAAGAATATTCAGTTCTACATTCCCATATTTTATTTTAAAGAATTCAAACCTCATTCCTGTCTGACCTCCTTCTAATATGCGTATAAAAATACTCCTGTCTTCCAAAGATATGGAGAGCCTAGTTTAACTAGCTGGAATAGTAAGTTTATGTGCTGTGTAGTGGTCCACATGACATTGCCAGAAAGAAAAGGTGAGGGTGGTCTTAAAAACATTCTTTTGGTTAGTTTTTGATAGTAATATGCACAGAATTGAAATAGCGTTCTGTATAACTTTCAGGTGTCAGAAATGGTAACAGTAGAAAATTTAAGTAAAGACAGCTGTGCTATGAGCACCCTGAAGTCTGAAGCCTTATTTTGACAGATAAGAACCAGAAAGATATTTGAAGTTTTATAAGAACTTTAAACATTTGTTTGCTTGTTTATTACTTTGAACTTAAAGTAATGCATAGTATTTTAAAATGATAACATGTTTATATTTGTTAAATTACATTTCCAACTTTTAAAATATTTGTAATGGAAAATTTTAAACAAACACAAAATTAGTACAGTAAAATGAACCTCAATGTACCCAGCTAATAGTCATCGATGCATGGCCTGTCTTATTTCATTTGTATCTCTAACCAATGAATTATTTTGAAGAAAATCCAAGACATCATAGCATTTCATCCATCATTATCAATTAAATTAAATTAAAAGTTCATCACATATTCAATAGGAAAAATAGGGAAGAGAAAAAATGAAAAACAAATAAAAATAAATAAATAATGCAATGGTTAAACATAGTTGTATTTACCCTCCCTAAGCTTCTCAGTGGTGGCCTAACTTCCTAGATGGATATGTGGAAATAGGCTGAAGTTATTATAACTGAGCAGTGGTCCTCCATCCCAACTCCTCCCCTTTCTCTTTTCTTTCTCTTGAGAATTTAATCTACCAGGCCAGTAAGAACAATTGCATTTTGCATCCTCTAAGACTGAACTGAGAAAATGTCCAGGGTCTCAGTGGTATTCACCAGCATTTGTTTTCTGTTCTCTGTTTTTGTGGTTGAGTTCTACATCTCAGTCACTCACTGTTGGCTTCACCTCACACTTACAAAAACACATAGTTTCAGTAATCAGCCATGTCCTGTTCCATTTGTAAATAAAAGGATGCGAGCTGTACTTGGTGTTTGTTTCTTGCTCTGACCTCATCAAGTCTGCAGCTTCTTACCTTGAAGAGCTTGTTGATAGTAGACGAAGGAGACACTCTGCCCTAGTTTCTTCCACTCCAATCTGAAGGCAATGGTCCTCTTCGGGTATTTACAGGCTAAAATAACCTCTAGAAACAACAAAAATACTTACTTAATGCTAATTGTCCCTCCGAAATTATATTTTACTTAATGAATGAATTTTTAACATCCTTAAGTTATTTCTTTATATTTCTATTCATTCATTCATTCATTCATCCATTCACTCAGAAATTACCTCAACAGGTACCTTGTTGGCTTAACCCAAAGATGAACTGAAAGCATGATAGCTCTTCCACATAATAATTGTGTGACTCTATGCTACTTTCCCTAGTTCTTGAGCTTCAGTTACCATCTGTAAAATAAGATAGTATCTCATAGAATTCTTGTGAGTTCTCAAATATAATAACATATGCATAGTAAGTACTTTAAAATGGCAGCTGTGGTTAATTATGATTAATTATTAATTATTATTATCTTATTCTTTCCAGTATCAGTCTTTGAAGATTTTATAGTCAGAAAAAAAGAGGCAAAAAGATAATGTAATTCCAGTCCGATGTGATGAGTGTCAGGAAGGTAAGCAGAGGGTGCTTCATGCTTAGTACCTAAGAAAGGCACTTAGTACAGCCCAGGCCATGCTATGGAAACCCACAAACATTCCCTCAATATGCTACAGTCTCACTCAGATCCCTTCTTTGATAACCCTCTCTATGAATACATTAACACAAACCCAATATGGTCTTCTAATAAATCGTTGACTCCTACCTCTTACTTCAATCCAGATAATTATTAAAAGATTTAATCTTGGCATCGAGCTTAACTTCCTCAATGTTGCTGACTAAGGTCACTTTATTATAAGAAATTTACTCTAGTTATATCATTCCTGGAACCTCTGAAGGAAACTCCTATTTGCACTGTCCAAACAAGATGATTGAATGGGGGCAGGGGAACCCAGCGCCTAACTGCCAACTGCCTCAAGATGCCAAATGAAAACCTCCAGTTCTAAATATTTTTAAAGTATAGTTCAGCCAGGCTCTCCAGAGTGTGAACTTCATATTTCTGAAATTTTTTTTCCCCACAATGCATACAGTTTGACCAAAAAGCACAGTATCTTTGACTAGAAGAGAAATTATGTAAAACTTCTTTCAAATATAATTTCTGATTTTAATGTTAAGCAGATTTAATGACATTTTTAAAAGAGAATTCAGTAATTTATGTCATATGGTAGAGAGTAATACTTAAAATATCCCAGGTTTTATTAAAAATATACACAATAGGTGTGGACAAAAAGCCTGTATAAATATGTATGAAAATGTTAATTCAGTGGTGATTTTTCTGTGATAGAATTATGATTTTTCTTTTTGTTATATGTAGTTTCTAATTTTTTTTAGTTCCATACATATTGCTAGAAATCTAGAAATAGAATAAAAGATAATGGAAAATAGAAAGTAGGACAAAGAAGGCATGGGGTGAAAAAAACCCCTAAAGTTGTTTTTAAAGATGCCTAAAGTTTTAAAAGCAGGTTTTACATTACGAAGAGACATCATTTTACAGATGTGTTTACATTTATGCTACAAAGACCAATGTGGGCTGAGGGACTTGTCTGAGGAAACGCAGTTCTGTTCTGTTGATTAAGGAGAATGGGTGGTGACTTTCCGGAGTCTTGAGTTTTAGATAGGTTTCCTTCCCGTATTTTGTTGAGTTTCCAACAATTAAACACACACCCACATTCATTTTTAGACTATACTCCTAGGTTTTAGGAATAAATTTATACTCACATAATCACATTGTTTTACATATTTAACTAGACACACACACACACACATACACATACACACACACACCCCTCGGTGAATTCTTCCTCATTTGTGTCCTCCTTGCTTTATGGAAAACTTCTTCAGAAATTATATTCGAAAATGTAACCAATGATTTTCCTAAATACAGTGATTCTACTCCAGCCTCACTCACACTGAAGATGTAAAATGTGGAGAAATGTTCTATGCAATTTGTCCAAAATATATTTAGTACTTACTGTGTGTCCAGCATTGTTCTTGAGCTATATCAGTGAGCGAAACAAAGATCTCTGCCCTTTCGGATCTTACAGTTTACAGGGGGAGTCAGGCACACAAGAAACATCATAAAGTGACTCTATAATATGTTGGGAGATGAGTGATATGGAAATAGGGTATGTCAGAGTATAGGAGGTTTGAGAGTGCTGGGGAACAGGGGCGCAATATAAAAAAAGAGGGTAATCGGTTCACTGCATTTAGATGGTGACATTTGAGCACAGACTTAAAAGAAGGAATTAGAATGCCTTAGAATTCAAATTAGAATACCTTAGAATTAGAATTTAGAATTCACCATACAGTTCTTTGGGAGTGTTCTAAAGCAAGAAATTAGCCAGTTCTTACATCCTAAGGTGACAATACCTTGACCACCAGAACTGTGAGTAAGTCCGATGGAATCATGGGGTCAATATCTGAGGATAAAGAACCAATTGTACTTAGAAGCTAACTGCCATGACTCTCTCTCTTAGCCAAAGTTCAACACGTGGGGCCAGCGTAATTTTGCATCTAGCGCTAGGAGTTATTTTGCCATAATATAGTAGTTTCAAGTACAGGCTTTGAAGTTAGATCTGTGTCATAGACTAAGTGTGTGATATTGCACAAATTACTTAACTTTTTTGGAACATTATATTCGCATTTGTAAAATGAAAAAAATGACGGTACGCATCTCACAAAGTTGTATGAATTAGATGATGCATTTATATACTTGGGTGCACATGGTACTTTGCAAATAGTACGTGCTCCATAAATGGTCCTTATTAATTTCATCCATGAGTAACTTCTCTTAGTTGTATTTGTAAGCTTGCCTTGATATAATAAAAATCCACATTTTACACCATCACAAATTTACCTAAAAATCATTCAAATTTGCACTAAAATGTTACTTCTGTTTGAGACAGCAAAGAAAATAATAGATAAATCGTATTTTCTCAAAATAAGGCATATTGAAACAGAAACAAACACCAAGTCGTTCTATTAAGATGATTATTTCATTGCCAACATTATGTTTTATTTGGACTGAGAAAAGATAATTCTTTGTTTAGAAAAAGCATTAGCAACCGCTATTTTGCCTGTAGCAAAATAGTCACATTTAGGAATCACATAGAATCACTGTGAATTTTAATTCTTCTAGGGTTCTGTACTGCTATCTTTTGATTTTATTCTCTGTGCTCAAGTTAAAAATCATCAAAATCTTACACAATGCCAGGAGAGAATTGATACTACCAAAGCAGTTCTGAAGAATTACCAAAAATTACTTCTGTGAAGAAAAGTATTCTGTGAAACTCTGAATGACAGCTCTGGGGTTGGACTCTCCCTGCATAAGGTTGCTCATATAATTTATAAGGCTGGCAGAGCTGCCTTCATTTCAGTCTGCTGTTGGCACCACTATGGGAGGTGATATAGAACAGTGTACTAAAAAGAAGGAACTAATTACGATTTATTAACATCAGAGAGACAGGAGACAAAAAAAAAAATAAATGAATTGGTGGACCACACATACGCAAATCATAAAATATTTTGGACTTTAACTAAAATTAAATTACTGCATAAAATATCCTAAAACTAAAATGGAAGGAGATAGAAATTTATTTTTGTTTGCTAGTGAGCCAAGTTGGGGTGATTGGAGTACATATAAAATAGAACCAAAATGTAAATCTTAATAAAAGAAGCAGAGATAAAACAAACACCAAAAAAGGCTTATTTGGGAATAAGCATGAGTAACATTTGATTGCAATAAATTATACAAGGACTTTCTATATTAAAAACAAAACACACATTGAAAAGTAATGTAAATGGTACTGCGTTTTGGTCTGGAGTGATAGACATGTTTTGGAACTAGACAGAGATGGTAGTTGCACAACATTGTGAATGTACTAAATACTACTGAATTGTTCACTACATGGTAGGTTTTATGTTATGAGAATTTCACCACAATAATTTTTTTTAAAGTAATTAATGTAAGACTGAAGAATATAATTTTGGCATCCTAATTCAGTATCAAAGCATAAGGCTTCGGGGGGAGGAGTGGGGGCGGAGCAGTGATGTATGTCCATGGTATCTAGTCGGACCCAACAGAAAGAACTTCCAGGAAAGTGAACAGTAAGAGAAATTAACTTCACTTTCTGTGTCCCTAATGGACATCCTGACGCATCTTTTCCTCTCACTGTGCTCACTTGTTTGGCCTTTCCAGTCTCTTTGGCATCTTGTCCAGCCCTATTTATCTTTCCTATAAGCATGCTCATAGTCCCAAATTACTCCTTATCATTAATTTCCTCTTCCCATTTCTTCCAATTTAAAACTATATCAGGATAAAGAGTGTTTTATTATCTTGATCATGTAAAATATCAGGTCTTAAAAGAACTTGATTAACCTAAATAATTATTTGATAATTTATTATTGAGTGATTTATCATTTTTAAATGACGGGCTGACTCTTATTATAGCATATTTTTAATGAATAAGACAATGTAACACTATATGTGCTAGGCACTATTGTAAACACTGGTTAAATACTAATTCATTTAATTCTTCCCCACCGCAGCCCTATTCTTTAATCTTTGTCTTTTTCCTTCAAACCTATCTCACTCCAACTTCAAGAACCTAAGACATTACCTGAAGAAGAAAGATCAGACATTCAGGAATTGTTTCTTAAAAGTTTACAATCTCTGGCCTAAACAAGCATCACATTTAAGAAATAGTCAAATTCCTATGTGCCTAGTATTATTGTGTTCTAGATAAAAGATCCTTTGGAAAACTATTTGATACAATATTTGAAGTAAATTTATAAAAGCCCTTATAAATTTTTTCCTTGTTTATTAGTCTTAATGTTTTTTTTTAAATTGCAGTAATATACTTAAAACTTATCACCTTAATGATTTTTAACTGCATAGTTCAGTAGTGTTAAGTATGTTCACTCACATTGTTGGGCAACCAATCTCCAGAACTTTTTCATCTTGCAAAACTGAAATTTTACATTCATTAAATACCAATTCCTCCTTATAAATATTTTAAGAAGCCAAAATAAATAACAAAATGGCACCCCAAAATAAGTTATATTAATGTCATCTTAAAATACATTAAATAGAGTGGGGTTTGCAATGTTAATTTCCATTTACCATGTCTAGCCGGCTGGAAAGTTTGCGAGGTCTTCGTCTCCCAGTTTCGCAAATTAGATTTGCTTCATTGCAGATAATTTACTTAATAAGAGACCATTTTTTTGTATATCAAGTCTTTCATCCAAACTTTCTACTGAGGGCTTAGAGAAAGAGTTCTCAAGGTGGAAATGACAAGCAGCAGCATTTTAGGCAGAAGAATTGGTGTGAGGTGAGGCAGAGCGTCCGGATAAATAGAAAAATAACATCGTATGTGTCATACTCATGATCATTTAAACAACACAGTCTATGAGAATCAATAAGGTACTCTACCTTGATATTCTATTGCTGTGACTACTTTATGGTCTTTTGGGGCAGAGACTCCATAGGCCTTATGATCTGGAAGATTAAAACAGATAGGATAATTAAAATAGCACAAAAGGCCATTTTTAACTGTTTGAATGGGATGCAATATTAAAGAAAACTGGCCTCAAGTTTGGTGACGGTTTTACACAATTCATAACACGTAAGTTTTAAAGTATCAAAATAAGAAAAATCAAGCCAAACCATTCTACGTCTCTTCCATATTCCATATTGTGGTTTTGCCCTTTAAGAATTTCCCAAAGCATCAGTCTACGGCCATGCTACCCTGAACAAGTCCGATCCCGTCTGATCTCGGAAGCTAAGCAGGGTCAGGCCTTGTTAGTACTTGGATGGGAGACCACCTAGGAAGACCAGGTGCTGTAGGCGTAAAAAATAAAAAAAATAAGGGATTGTAAGCTGATAAATTCCTTGTAATCTGTGAGGTCAACCAAGGGTTGCCTTGCCCCACCCCACCAAAAAAGAAAGAAATTTCCAAAGTGAAACCCATGAATCTAGTAGGGTCCCAACCACAGACAACACATTCTCACAAGTCCAACTGGTAAATGATAGTTTATATCCTTAATTCAGCTAGTATGCAATCTAGTGTCATAGGGTATTATCTCCCAAATAAAAGCTAATATTATGGTGAGTATTGTGGGTAATGTGATCTTATAGTTAGTTATATGGTGATGATGATGATGATGATGTTGATCTCATCATTCCCATATTTTATATAAAATTTTTATTTTAAAAAGTGCTTATACATACTTTTTTTATTCTATAAAATTCAATATTCGGAGTGATCTGGTGTGCTAGACTTTTTAAAATATTTTTTATTTTTTTTCAATTATAGTTGACATACAATATTACACTAGTTTCAGGTGTACAACATAGTGATTAGACATTCATATACCTTACGAATAGACATTATTAAGATTTAAACAACAAAGTAGCAGAACTAGGAACTGAAATTTCTAATTCAATCTTTGATATGTATCTCTTTGTGTTATGGATATCATTCTATAGTCCAGCTCAATGACCATGTTTAAAAATAATCTAAATCACTTCCTATATGTCTCTAAAATACAAATGCTACCAGGGAAAG